TTACTAGAAAGTATAAGAATACTCACATTAACATAATTTCTTCATAATAACAATATGATATGCTTAAAGGTGGGGTAGGTAAGTTTAAGGAACCGGCTCGAGATACACTTTTTTGTTATATTCCATGGAATGCTCTCAACATTCCGATAGCAATGAATATCTTAAGTGCTTTGACAAAAAATCCATAAAAAAAGGTCATCTGTGGAAGCCGCGGTACTGTAAAAAGCACGACCAATCATCTGAGCTCCGGCTAAAATAACTGGATGGCCTACCTGCCTGTCAGCCTTCCATCTGTGCACAAACTTATCTCGTGCCTTCATTGGTCATGTGCGCGTTCGTGTGTGTTGGAGGAGGGGCTCTGTAAGGAAGTGGCAGATTTTTTCCGGCTGTGTATTTTCAAATTCCTGCGCACTCGAGCTGGTTTCTCCAAAATTACCTACCCCACCTTTAATTGGACATTTATTTTACACATTTCGCTTCATATTTAAAGCATTCGCCAATGACTTAACTGCTGATTGGGGCCATTGTAAGAAATAAAACACCTTGCCTTAACCCCCCTCCCAAAAAAGATTTCTTGTAAAAAAGAACTCAGAGATATCTAATTTTTGTCTCAAAATGTCCATATCATTCGGCCGTCACACTTTTTAGCTAAGTTTACTACTTTTTGGGATCTATTTGAAGCATTTAACTTCATGTAAAATCTTCTGTGCTTGCTACCTAGTTTTTATGCAATCTCAAATACGCATAGAGTTCACATGTTAATAAATGTAATAAATAAAAGGTTGGGAAACAAACACACACACACCTTTCTCCATATACTCGGTGATGATGAAGATGGGCTCCTCCATGGTGACCACAGCGTTGAGGCGCACCAGCTTGTCGTGCTGCAGAGCCTTCATCAGGTTGGCCTCCCCCAGGAAGGCCTCCACCGACATGGTGCCAGGCTTCATGGTCTTCACTGCTACCTTGGTGTGCTTATTGTATGTAGCTGAAAGCAAAACAATAATTGGAATTATAAAAATTAAATAACAAGCTCGTACCTTCATTAACGACTGGATTGTGAAAATGCTTCAGATCTGTCTCACCCAGCCAAACCTCTCCAAACTGTCCGGCTCCGAGCTTCTTATCCAGCTTCAGCGATGATCGGGGGATTTCCCAAGCGTCTTTCTCCCACGGTTTCTCCGGTTTAGGGCTCAAGCAGGGGTGGGTCAGGGTTTGGCAGAGACCATCTCCCTGCTCTGGAACCAACAGAATATATATTATGTCATGTATGTTTGTAGTGTCAGACTTTTTTTAATGAAATGTTTTCCCTAAAATATATAAATGTTATAATTTTTCTTATTTGCAGGGAAATTCATATTTCACGATTCTAACAAGAATTCATATTGAAGAGCAATACAATCCATCCCCTCAGTGATGACCTTGTTCAGGTATGATTGGCCAGCAGAGTGTGCTGTGCATTACTGTGAGACAAGTCCTTTTAATGAGACTATTTATTTAGAGACATTTTGGTTAACATAGATAGATAGATAGATATGAACCACAATAATACTCAACATAAAATCTCTATTAAACTCCTGAGGATTTTTTTTTTGGTCCTCACATTACAATTTTAGTGACCAGCTATGATTACTTTACTAGACAAACAGTAGTGAGTTTGGTAAATCTTTCCGAGCGTGGAGGCCTGACTCACTCTTGTAATGGCTGACCAGCTCCTGCAGGGTGCTGAAGGTGATGCGGGGAGAGATGTAGAACCCTCCATTGTCCAGCATACGGATCTTATAATGTTTCACTGTGTCTCCGGTCCTCACGTCCCCGTCCCTGACCGACAGGGAGTAGCTGCCTGTGGGAAAAGAGAAAACAGTAGTTAACATGTGATCAGGGGATATTTTGATGCGGATGCAAAACAAAAATGTTACTTGTTAGAATTAAAATATCTTTGAATTGCTGAGGAATTTGGGACACTTAAAGGGGGACACTTAAAGGGGCACCCCATTGAATTGTATTGTACTTTCAGAAATGTAAGGGATTCACAAAAGACATATTAAAAAAAGAATAACTGAAATCGAAGCAAACGAGGCCGAGTAATATCATGAGTGTATTCTCCTATCAGTCAAACTTCAAAAACACTAATTCCTACAATTCCCATTATGCATCACAATGGAATCTTTGGTTCCTTTTTAATGCCAACGTCCTTCAAATGTCACGTTCAGTTTGTAATGCAAGCTTTCTGTTACAAGTTCAAAGGTGCTAACCCACAACTCTAACACAACTATTCTATAACTAATGGCGCTTTTCCACTGCATGACCTAGCACAGGGCTGCCAACATTTGAGTTCAGCTTGGAGTGAGATCTTTTTTTGGTGAACCGAAAAAAGAAACGTTCATGTGTCCAGTGTTACAAACTAGGGTTTCCCATTAATGTACCGGGGCTACAGTGGAATACGCACATACACAGTGTACCCGCGACTCTTACAATGAAGGCTCGATAATCAGCTCACAGTAGGGGTGGGCGGATCGATCCCAAAATATCGATACTTCCGATATTACGTTTCAAAATATCGATATTAGAGCCAATAGGATCGATACTTTTATACTTTTTTTCCCGTCTCCTCTACTTGTCAATTTCTTCAAAAAACTATGTGCAGACGAACACAAGTATATGCTCTTTTCTTCTCTCTCCGCTGTTGTCCTCCTCTCCTGGAGGCTCGCGCACGCGAAGCGCGCTCCCTGCCTGAACGCCAATTATCAAACTGACTGACAGCAGCCAGCAGGGCAGGACAGCAGCAGCCAGCGACTCGCGAGTGTAACACACACACGCGCATGATGGCTGAGAGAAAGAGCAGCGTTGTGTGGAGCAATTTCACAACTGGCAATTCAAACTTAGCGAACTGTGATGTGTGCAAGAAGACAGTTCACTACTCTGGCCACTTTGTATTGTTATTTTTCATGTTTGCACTTTAAATTTGCAAAAGTAAAAAGTTTATTCGTCTATAAAAACTGTCCTGTCTTTATTCATGAAAATGAATTCAGATTTAGTCTATTTATGATGCTTTCAGCTCAAAAATCATGTCATGCAGCTCTCCCATATATGAAAGTACATAAGACGCTTTTCATTTAAAAAAGTATCGGTATCGATATCGGTATCGGCGATACTGGCCCTAAAATACTTGGTCTCGGATCGAATCCAGATTTTGTGGTATCGCCCACCCCTAGTGTGCACCTTGTGTGCACCGCCTAGTGATTAAAGCACGTTATTGAATTATTGTTTTTATGTGTTATATTTGATTAAAAAAATATTAAGAGTACATACATTCATAGGGGGAAAGTAGAAGGTCTGTGATAGAAATATAGAATATCAAATATCAAGAAGATACTGTAAGTGATCTCTACAATAAAACAGTTTAGTGCAGGAAGTCCAAAGATATTAATAGGAGGATGTGCAAAACAGAAAAACGAATTAACCTTTATTTAAACATTAAATAATACTTTAGATTAAGGTCTTCTTTTAAATAAGAAAAAAGCTTTGGGGGTATCTACAGATACATATTAAGCCTGACAAAGTACTTAACGTCTAATATATTGCTTTCCTGCAATGTTAACTATGTTGAAGCACTTATTTTAACTGATATTAAACACATTAATTATACTCTTATGTATGTAGATAGTATAAGAAATGTGCAGAATATGACAGTTTAATGGTGGAGGTATCCACATATTGATAGATGTCTTGTAATGCACTGTTGAGGAACC